ACCCTCACATTCAGTATCCCAATTACACATTAATTCTGTTTATTGTTCTTTTAAAGTTTCCTTTGACTCACAAGCCATAGTGGAAAGTACGTACTAAACTGAACTAATTGGGTATCTAAAAGAGACTGAATTCCACACTCCTTACATCTTAATATGCTTTGTAAAACCACAGGTAGAAATCAACTAATTAACTACCTTTTGGGGGCAGGGTTTTACTATGTAGCCATAGTTAACCTTGAAATCACTATGAAGACAGTGCTGGCCTTGAACTCATAGATGGGTTTATATTAACTGGAATTAGAAATTAAGATAGAAGCTCAAGGCAACATTGATTACTTGACTCAGTAGCAAATAAAGCTTAACATACTTGGAAAACCTGAGAATCTTTATTGTACTATATTCACAATGAAAACAATGGACATTTCTTGCATTTTTCACTAAATCAACCTGACAATGTCATACAGATGACACACAAATTTTTTGGAAAAGTGCCCTATTTAATCCCAGCACTCAGGAAGCAGACGTAGATGGACCTCTGAGTTCAAGAGCCTCTTGGTATACATAGTTCTAGAACAGCCAGAGCTACATAGCGAGACTCTTCCTCAAAAATACAAATAAATAAATTGTGATATGATCTATCCTAAAGCTGACATACTACATACAATAATATAAACATAATATCCAAAAATATTTAATGTTATCTCACTGGTGCTGATGATGTAACTGTAGAAATAAAATTTCTTTTTCAGAGCTGCCTGGCAAAATTAACTCAGTTCTTCTCTGCTGTATTTCCTTAAAAAATAATGTTAGATGTATGACTAATAATAAAAACACAAACAGCACTTTAGGAAAGCTGGAATGTTCTCTTTTTAGACACCGCCCAGCATAGAGCCAGGACCCTGCTGGGCAGCCCCACCAAGCTGGATCCTCAAGCTGACTGCTTTAAGGAGCAAACAAGTGAGAGGCCAAAGTCAGGAGGACCAGGGATGTGTGCCGGGGATGAAAACACATGCTTGGCACGTTGCAAGTCCCTGGGTTTGATCTTCAGTAAAGATGCAAAAAAATTAAACAAACAACAGAACGGTTTTCTTTTTTTCTAATTCGAGGAAACAGATAAGTTAAATAGATTTCACTTTTTAAAAAGTAAAGCAACTGAAAATTATCACGGTATAGATAGACATTTAATTCAGAGCTGCTAAAAAACACACACACAGTGAAAAGGTGGACGCAGCAGTTAAGAGTGGGCATACAAAGGGCCCCCCTGGAACTCTAGCTCCAGGGGCATTTGCTGCCTTTGGCCTCTGAGGGCACCCCCATACAGACCCACATACACACACACAATGGGAACTAAACAGAAAGGGAATCTTTAGAAACGGTGAAAATTGGAAACAAACTTGGTGTCCCACAATACGGGATGGGTTCAGAACACTAAAAATCATTGTTATATGAGAATCTTTTAGTGACATAAGAGATGCTTATAATTGAGATGGGGGGAAAGTTAGACTGTGTAGAAAAAAATAAGCCCAGGTTTGTAGAGTAGAGCTTTCCAGCTGTGCAACTTTGGGAAAGTTAAATAACTGCTATAAGTATATCTATTTCTCCCCAATAAGACGGTAAAGGATGTCTGTCTACCTTGAGGCTACAGAGGTTAAGAGCACTGGTTACTCTTCCAGAGGATCTGGGTTTGCTTCCCAGCACCCACATGAAGGCTCACAACTGCCTGTAACTCTAAGTTTTAGGGGATCCACCTTCCTCCACTGGCCTCCACGGGCACCGTACGCGTGCAATGCGTAGACATTCACGCAAGCGATGTGCCTGCACACAGAGGAGCATCACCTCCCAAGGCTGTGGTAGGGAGAAGTTACCGGAACTAGCCAGCATCTGTCCACAGTGGTCAATACACATCAGCACCAGCTGCTGCAAGTGCGCATGTGAGAAAACAGGAAGGTACAGTGTTAAGTGGTTTTAGGGTGATAGGTTTACTCTGCCCATTTTTCCAAATATGTATGAACATCACTTCTAACATGAGGGAAACAAGGATGTGGGGATGTTGACACAATGAGAATCCTTTTCAAGCTCTACCTTAGGGCTTTCTTAAACGTAAATGAATCTTGCTTGAGTTAACTTACCCTTCGTATTTCCTTTCAGTGAGTCTGTTTTACACTATTTAAATTAATTTGTCAATACTACTTTATTAGGTAAAGCAAGATGTCCACATTGTGCTCAGCCTCACAAGAGTGGAGGAGTCCAACTCAAGAACATCAACAACCACTAGGAAGGCAGCCCAGCCCAGCAAAGCTCAGCTCAGATCTTTTGCTTCCTCCCAGCTCCCAATGCTCCTGCTTGCTGACCCCGTGGTACTTGGGTTTTAGTCTACTGGACTCTAAGTCGCAAGGGCAGTAACAGAAACCCCATTATCCCAGCACTGTTACATACCAGTGCTGGTATATAATAGGTGCTTAATAAATATTCATCATTTATTCAGCTGAATGACAACAAATATGAGTTGAATGATTATCTGATACTAGTAGTTCAGGATTTGATTCCACCAGAAGACAAAGGAAAGCCATTCTTTTTATAGCCTAGAATTCTCAGGAATTGATCTAATAAAAAAAAATGAAGGAAATAAGGAATGGTATGGTATACTGGAAATCCAAGCACTGGGGAGACTAAGGCAGGAGGATCTCAAGTTCAAAGCTAGGTTGCCCTACAAAGTAAGATTGACTCTTCACACACACTCTCTTTCTCTTTCTCCCTCATCCCCTCCCTCCTTTCCCCTCAAATTATCACTTTTAAAAAGGAAGTCCCAATCTGTATTTCATTGTCTATTTTAACAAATATAAGGCAATTTCTGTATATTTTGTTTAAAGTCCCACAACATCTGAGAGTATAACTCGGAGAAGCATGGCTAATGCATGGCTAATCTGGCAATCACCAGATTCTTCTGCACCCCCATGGCCACCGTCCCCTCCCAGCACCCCAGTGTTACAGAACAAATGCCTGGGATACTTCCAAATTCCTCCGAGGACTTTTACCAAGTTCTGGGAAAAAGAAACTCAAAACACGGTGAAACAGCCTGCTTACATGTGGTCCTGAATTTCTCCGCAGGTTCACAGGTCAACCAGCTTTAAAAATGAAACTAACAACAGCAAATTAAATATTAACTTGATTTAAAAAAACACTAATATGCTGGAGATATGGCTCAGCGGTTAGTAACACTGACTGCTCTTCCAGAGGACCAGAGTTCAATTCCCAGCACCCACATGGCAGTTCACAACCTTCTGTAACTCCAGTTCCAGGGAATCTGGCATCCTCACACATACATGCAGGCAAAACATCCATGGAAATATAAAATAAAAGTTTTAACAAAAATCCCAAAAATTCTTTAGCTGGGAGAGCAGTATGAAGTAAGACCATCAGTGGACCAAGGAAATGGGCTATAAACAAAACAAACAAAAAATGAATTTTGCTTGCTTCTCACTCAGAAAGAAATGCTAGAGTTTTCTGTACAAATACCTTCTTCCTGCAAAGTCCAGGCTTCTCATGCTCTGTCTGCCCGGTGACTTTGATGTCCCTTAACTCTAACAACAGAGGGTGGGGACAAAACCGTCTTAGGTATCCACCCTGAAACAGTTGACTTCCTGAAAACCTCCCTTCCCACCCCAAGGGAGTAGCACAGCGTTTCACATGCTAACCTGGGCCCCACAGGCTCCTCAGAGGGAAACCGGCTTTACCTAAGCCACCTGGACCTCTCTGTTATTATAGGTCAACAGTTACAGTATAGTGGGGTCTGCGTTGGAGAAGACACTCATCATCAGACGTTTGCGCCTCCATCCTCCTTACTAACCTCATTAATCCTTACTTAGCACTCGTTACTGTTTGGAGTAGTCCTAATCTCATTTTACGGGTTCTGGATGGTAAATGTAACCGAGGGTTCAGGGTTAGTCTAGTTAGATGAGTCTAGGAGTGAAACCAAAGAACGGAACAGTTAAAAAGTGAGATTCAAAGTCCACGCGAACCCACGGACAAAAACAGTTGAACCTCTCCAGAATTTCAAACATGTCAAAATTATCTTAAGGTCATCTGAGAATAAGCAGGTGTTGAAATAAAGGAACGGCGGATTAATAAAAGATTACAGGAAATAACATTTTAAGTATTTGGTTTTGAGACGCAACGATCACCGGACCCACAGACTGTGACGGGGTCCTGTCCGCTCCCACCTCTGTGGGCTGACAAACCCAGTCTCCCTTCAGGAAAGGGCGCGGGTCTAAACACCAAAGGCAGAGAGGTCCCCTTGGGTAGCCCGGAGCTGGTCTCGTGCACAGACCTTCAGCAAGTGACAGTCTCTACTTCGCCAGCCTAACTTCAACCCCGACCTCGAGACTGGCACTGCACAATCTACGGTTTAACCTGTGCCATTCGATGCCACCACCAAGTACCCGAAAATGGGTTACAAATGAATGAGCAGCAGGCTGGGAGGAGAGACAGCCACCAACTGACCCCCAGCAGACGAAAACCGAGGAAGGATGCCCGGGGCGGGGCGGCCTGGGGGAGGCGGTGGCGGCCAGAGCCACGTCCCCGCTGGAGCCACGTCCCCCGCGCGGAGGCTCCGCAGGACGCGCAGCCCGCAGCCCATCCTCCTCCCGGCCCGGCGCTCACCGCTCGCACGCAGCCGGTGCTCGCACGCCGGGGGCGCTCGCTGGGCGCCGAGGACCCGGGGGGGCACCGGGCCCGAGAGCTGCAAACTTTGCGCGGGTCGCGCCCGCTGAGGAAGCCGCTCCGCCCCAGGCCGCAGTCCGGGTGCTGCAGCGAACCCGGCTCCGGGCGGCTCCGGCGGCGCCGAGGGCGGGGTCTCCGGGCGGCTGAGCCCCGGGCAGCGCGCTGCTCTGTTTACAGCGGGCCCGCCCGCGCCCTCCTCCCTCCTCCTTCCCTCCCTCCCCAGCCCGCGCCCTGCGCGCTCCTGACATCATTCATTCTCGCACTCTCGCCTGCCCTCTCCTGCTCCCAGCCGTGACTCACCCCAGAGCCCGGGGTTCCTGCGGGCACCCGCGACTCCGGCGATTCCCGCGACCGGGTCTCTTCCCGGCGTCCAACCGAGCTCGAAAAACCGGTGCGACTTCTTCGGGAGGCGATTGCAGCCGACCCTCCCCTCTGCGGCCCTAGAAGATGCAGCGAAGGAGGGGCTTGGCAGGCAGCGCGAGGTGGCTCCCGGCCGCAGGCTGAGCGCAGAGCACGGCAGACCTCCCCGAACGCGGGCGGGGATCAATCTGGGAAAGTTCTCTGGGTGCCGCTCCCAGCAACTTTCAGGGGTGGGGCCCGGGAAGGGATAAGCCACCTCCGCACCTCCTCCGGTTTCGGAAACTGCTTCCCGACTACGTCGTGTGCGGGCCGGGGGGCACCCGCGCTGACTCAAGGGGTGGGGCCCCGCCTAGGTCAAGTGGGTGGGTTTCCTAACATCACAAGACCGCTTGGCGAGGTTAGTCACCATGCCCGGTGGCACCTCTAGGTGAGCTGGAAGGGTGATTGCTCCTAATGAGGCTAACGACGCTAACCACCTTGTCATTGGCCCCGTTAGGTGAATTGCATTTTGGCAAGGATGAGGAACCGGAACCAGGATGACCGCTGAAAGAGTGACTCTCTACTTTATAATGGACTTGTGCGTTTCTGTTGCCTTGGGGGCACAAGTGGCCATATGTGGTTTCTCTGATAACCTCAACAATTAGGTTGTAGGAAGGGTTGTCTCTGTCTAAAAAATGGTCAAAGCTTGGCATTTCCTTGGTGTTGCCCTTTCCACACCTGGTGGCAGCTCCCAAAGTCAACCACGGTCTCGAGAAGAGTGCCTAACTAGGAATCCAGGCAACTGGCTGAACTTTAAGAATTTAACTGGCATAAATACCTTTTTATGATGTTATCTACTTCCCTTCTGGTTTTGGTGCCTATGTGTAGGGTTGCATAGACTGTCCTATGGGGATTAACATAATCGACAAAAATAACTATAAGCAAAAAAAATAACTATAAGCCTTTCTGGTGTTTAGGGTGGATATCATTTGTGTCAATAATCATTTAACCCAATGATAGCAAAATAGAACATGTGAGAGAGGTCCCAAGGTGGCAGGTCTAAGATGATGTCACAATGCAGAAGCCTAAATGAAACAACCCTGCAATTAACCACAGGCTAGACATTGTTGTGGGGAATGCTTTTGTTTTTAAGCTCCAGAAAGGTAGGAATCCAACAAAGAGCATCAGCAATGTAATTTCTTTTCCTTGGGTTTATCTTTCCTTTTCTATAAGGAGTTCCGTTTTACATTTACAAAGCCCAGGCATTTTGCCCAGAAGGCAATAGAAATGGATTGGTTTGCTAGCATGCTGTCCCACTAAATGGAAATTTGAACCAACATTTTTTCCCCAGATAACCACAGAGGTAATGCAGAAGCTTAGTGTCTGAGGCATGGGTGACACAGAGGGTCAAGAATCTGTGTCGGTGAGTGTGGGTGAACATTTCATGCCCATCTACCCCCTACTTGACGACTCAAATATTTGTATATTAAGGAGGTAGGCATAAGTAAAAACTTCTACAGAACTCAGAAAAATGACATTGAAGGGTTTGTGAAATTTTGAAAGCCCCCGAGCCTTCAGTCCTGTGTGCACTGTAGAAGATTATGAATACTACCGATTCCGCATGGACCTCTGTTTAACAGGCAGCTTGGAACATTTTGCCATGTTGTGTTTCAGTTGGCTATCCTATCATGCCACCTACAAAAAAAAAAATAAAGCTCTGTGTAGTGGGATACTCCCTAGTTCTTGGGAGGCAGAGTCAGTACTTCAAGACTGACCTCCTCCTTCTATAGGGAGAGCCTCACTCTAAGAGCTTAAACACAAAGGAGTAAGAGCGTATTTATGACCCGGTCCATGAGCTAGCTTGTTGGAGCCCACTTCCTTTGGTGGGATGCCATGCTCAACCTTAATGCAATGCATGGGAGAGGGGCCTGGCCCTGCCCCAACCTGTTGTAGCAGACTACGTTGACTCCTCATGGGAGCCCTTACCAGTGAGAAGGAGTGGACTAGGGGTGGGCTGGGAGGAGGTGAGGGGGATGGGAGGAGGGGTGGGAGGGAGAACTGTGGTTGGAATGCAAAATGAAATAAAAAGTGTTGTGTAGTTTTTCTGATACTCATTGACTTTTTTTTTTTAAAAAAAAAGCAAATTATGGGGCTGACAAGGTGGCTCAGTGGTTAAGAGTTAACTAAATCTACGGTTTATCATCTTCCAAAAATGTTGCTTGTTTGGGCTGGAGAAGGAACTCAGAGGTTCCATTCCTAGCACCTGTATGATGACTCAACAAGCATCTGGAACTCCAGCTTGAGGGGATGCCCATTCCTGGTTGTCATAAGCACCAGGTAAAACACCCATTCACATAAAGTAAGAATAAATACATCTTGGAAAATAAAGGACATCGATGACCTTTGTAAAGGACAGAAAGGGGCTGGAAATCAAGCTCACTGGTACAGTGCTTAGTAGATTTGTTAGTTGGATACCTACCACAGGGGGGAAAAAACTATCAGTGAGAGAAAGGTGTGGTGGTACAGACCTGTAATCCCAGCCCTGAGTAGGATTACCTAAGAGGATCAAGAGATCAGTCAGTCTGGACTATACTGTGAGACCCTGTTTCAGAGTAAGGTGTAGGGAGAACAGAAGACAGTTTGTAGGTAAAGGGTTCGTGACAGTTGTTTTGTCTAAGCCAAGGCACGCTGTAATCAGCTTTTACAAATATGTCTTTGGTTTGGTAAAACAAACTGATTAAGGCAGGAGAAAAATACATCTCTAGTGCTTATCTCTTTATTTTATCTTCTGCTTTCAGCATAACTAAAGTCAGGTATTTAATCAGTAAATTTGATCGAGTGAGTTTCCACTTGGTTGTTTATCTAAGGTTCAACCTGTGCCCTTTCTAAGCATGTCTAAGCAATAGGAAAGGGGGTTTCTCTTTTTTGACCCCATTTTCTTTCTTTTTTTAGTTTTATGAAGATGTTTATGGAAGTGTCTTTTGTAACTTTGCTCATGCCATGTATTCTGTCTGGGATGTAATGATTAAGAAAATAAAGGAACACATAAACAGGAACAAATGAGAAGAAAATTCTGCGTTGTAGAATATCACACAGACAGTGGGTGAAAATGAATGATATAGTTCTACCCTATACATTGTTCTGAGGAGGGTAAGTAATGAAACCACTTTAGAAAGCAAGCTAGAACTAAAAAGCAAAAAAATAAAACAATACCAAAAAAGCCTTAAAGGCTGAAGAGATAGCTTGGTAAGTAAATGAAGGTCCTTGTTTCCCTGCCTGATAACCTGAGGTCACTCCCTGGGGTGCACATAGTTGAAGGATAGAGTTGATCTCTGACCTACACATGTGCCCTATGGTGCATGTACACGAACACACACACACACACACACACACACACACACACACACACACACAATAAATGTAATTTAAAAAATAAATGGGGTTATTTTAAGCTACTAAAATAGCAGATGGCTCTGAGGCCTGTTTTGACTAAATCATGGGTCGGGGCAAAGGGAGCAGAGGGTGGATGATGAAGGGAGAACTGTTTGTGTATTCTGTGATGGATGCTTCCTGCAACACGTAACCAGCCTGTATCTTGTCAACAGCGTCAGCTGACCGATGAACCAAAAGGAAAAAACCAGAACGCCGTGTGGCAGTGCAACTGAAAATGAGGAAGAGACTTACCCCCCTGTACATCTCACTTTTGGAGTTCGGTCTGAGTAGCAGACGTCCTGTCCTTGGGATCATGTCAGCAGCTCTTTGGTGTGTGAAAATGTGTGTGATTTCACTGCCTGGTGTTGACTCTAAACCTGATAGTTTAGTTCTTAGCTTGAAAACACTTTAGGGCAGTTGTTTTTGCATCCTTCTGTTTATTAAAAAAAAAAAAGCCTTTGGATGATCTTTATAGTCAGGATGGTTGCATATTAAATAAATGTATTTTGGCTATTCAGAGAAGAAACAAAAAGGCTGTGTACCACCTTTTGTTGGCATTGTCACCCATGTCACTTCCTGACTGAAGAGGATGGGGAGGGCAGAGGGAGCATAGCGCAGCTTCCCACGGTCCAGGTACAAGATGGCGGCGTCTGGTTGACAGAGCAATGATTGACAGCAAGGAAGGCAGGTGGGCTTGAAAGGCAATGGATGGAAATTGCCAGTCAGTCAGACGTGGAGACTGAGCCAGCAGGGCTCCTGCTCCTTTCCTCTGAGCACTTACAGGATGCTCAGGATGCTGGTGCAAGGCAGGGTTGTGGGGGAGATGACGCGTTTGATGTGGGTGAATGGAGATGTCATGTGACGATGTTTGTCAGGACTCAGAAGAGAAGCATGGTGTGGAGATACAAACTTAACAATAGTCAGCAAATAATAACGATGAATGTGGGGGAAGAAGGGATGACATAGTGGGAAGGAAAGGGGAGAGGAGGTCCAAAGGAGAACCAAATGTTATTAAGTGAGGTAAGAGGGGCCCACAGCAGATGAGGCTAACATATATAAAAAGAGATGAAACCAGAAGATAATGTCAGGCAACTCAGGAAGCGCCTCCTTCTGAGGAAGATGCTCCTGGGAGGACAAGGAAAATAAAGAGAGACAGACAAAGATGATCCTCGGACTCGGTGGCCCAGGGTCTTGGCTGGGCCGTGACTGGGTGGAATCTGTGGAGACCTGCTGTAGACGGACCAATAAGCAGTGTGAATGCATTACTAAGGTGAACTTATACAGTTGGGGCTGATGGAAAATGAGGAGTGTCTACTAGTGAGCACAGGCTTTTGGAGATGATGCAGATGTTCTGAATTTGATGGAAGGGGGCCTGGGGGTATAGCTGAGTTGGGAAAGTGCTTGCCGGGCAAGCACAAGGCCTTAGGCTAGGTCCCCAGTGCTGTATCACCTAGGTGATCTTGCACACTCCTCTGATCCCAGCCGGTGGAAGCTGGAGGATTAGGGGTTCAAGATCATTTTTGTTTTGTAGCAAATTCAAGGATGGTGTGGGTTCCTTGAGACCCTTTCTCAAAAAAATAGATATTTTTTAAAAAGACCAAAATAAAGGTGGAATGCTGAAGGAAAGGAATGAGAAAAGAAGGTAGGGGAAAATAATGGGGCAAGAGCCAGCAGCTGGGGAGCAATCGTAACACAAGGAGGAGGAGTTGGGAAACATGGGCTTTGGGTTTGCTGGAGTCACTGTTGGGTTGAGTTGTGATCCCCATTCATATACTGAAGCCCTTGCCCCCCACATGCCAGAATGTGTCCATACCGCTCTTCCTTGGCTCATTATGGCCTTATCTGCTAACCCATTACAGTTTGAAAATGTAAGTTGAAAACCCACTTAAAACACCTACAAAAACTGACAGGTTAACGGCATATGCTGGTTGGTGGCCATTACAATCTCACGGCTATCTGGGAGCTGCAATGGGCTGGAGCTGCCTGGTTTCAGAAACAAGGGTCATGTTACACTTTGCTGGTTTGGGAAATGATCCAAATTGAAAACGTCAGTTTTCTAAGTTGTGCAGATTGATTCTGAGCTACTGTAAAGTCAAAATAGTAAGCAGGGCCCTGAAGGTAGGGAACTATGTCTATTTGAAGGCCATGCCTTTTAAGAGGAGATTAAATGACAATGAGGCTGTTAGGTGAGTCTAAACACCTGTCTGGTGGTATTCTTATAGGCAGAGGGAATGGGAACCTACAGAGCTCACAGCATGGGCACACAGTGGGGGAAGGATGGAGGAAAGACCACGGAGGATGAATACTCCTGCAAGGGCAGGAGATAAGCCTCCAGAGAAATCAGAGTGACCCTCACTCTAAAATGTCTAGTGCCCAATGTCTGAAAACAAATTTTGGTTGATTAAGCCCCTCCACCATAGCGCCCCTTATCCAGGTTGCTTTTCCTGTAGTCATGCAAAAATATTCCAACAAAAGCAACTTAAAGGAGAGAGGGCTTAATCTGCAGCACAGATCAAGGGTGTAAGGATATGGGAAAACTTGTGATCACGAGATAGGATCTTGGAGGATACACCAGAAGGGTTAGGGGGCAATGGGTGGGGTGGTAGATGCCCAGCAGAAATCAATTATAACAATGTGGAAATAGTGGGTGAGGGAGAGAATGTAGGAGAAGCTTGTGAGTAGGTGTGCTGGCTAGTTGTATGTCAGCTTGACACAAGCTAGAGTCATCTGAAATGAGGGAGTCTCAATCGAGAAAATGCCTCCATAAGATCTGACTGCAGGACATTTTCTTAGTTAGTACTTGTTGGGGAGGACCCAGTCCATTGTGGGTGGTGCCATCCCTGGGCTGGTGGTCCTGGGTTCTATTAGAAAGCAGGCTGAGCAAGTCAGTAAGAAGCACTCCTCCCTAGCTTCTTTATCAGTTCCTGACTCCAGGTTCCAGCCGGTTTGAGTTCCTGCCCTGACTTCCTTCAGTGATGGACTCTGATGCAGAAGTGTGAGCCAGGTAAACCCTTTTGGTCATGGTGTGTCATCTTAGCAATAGTAACCCTAACTAGGACAGTGGCGTTGGAGAGAGATTTCTAGAAGTTATTTCTAACTTCTCTGGAACCAGCAGCCTGAAACCAGCTCCCACTCCAACAGGTGGGAGTCCTATGGGACTAAAGTGGAGACGGACTTAGTCTGTCATTTCACCAGTGCAAATGGTCTTATTTTATATTGGCTGTTTTATTCAGAGGCCAAACTGCTGTGACTAATCTGCTCTTGTCATTCTTTCTTCCAAGGACCACTAACCTTTTGTACTTTGATATGCTTGGTACTGAAGGCCATGGAAATCATCAGGAGCCACTTTGGGGGGAAGAGAAAGAGTGCAATTGATTCCAATAGGGCAGAAGGTGGAACTCCACTCCCTATCAATCAGAAGAGGAAGCCTGTGGGCTACTCAGATCACACATAGCTCAGGAGAGAGCAGGAGTGGTTAGGGTGGAGGGTGGTACAAACCACCTCACTCAGGAGAGACTGGCTGGCTGAAACCTGGTGACTGAGGAAGAAATGGGGGCTCTGTGATTGGCTAGCAGATTGAGGAGGAAATGGGGGCTCTGTGATTGGCTGGCAGATTGAGGAGGAAATGGGGGCTCTGTGATTGGCTAGCAGATTGAGGAGGAAATGGGGGCTCTGTGATTGGCTAGCAGATTGAGGAGGAAATGGGGGCTCTGTGATTGGCTAGCAGATTGAGGAGGAAATGGGGGCTCTGTGATTGGCTAGCAGATTGAGGAGGAAATGGGGGCTCTGTGATTGGCTAGCAGATTGAGGAGGAAATGGGGGCTCTGTGATTGGCTAGCAGATTGAGGAGGAAATGGGGGCTCTGTGATTGGCTAGCAGATTGAGGAGGAAATGGGGGCTCTGTGATTGGCTAGCAGATTGAGGAGGAAATGGGGGCTCTGTGATTGGTTGGCAGATTGCTTGCTCTTTCTGGGTGGTGTCTTTTCCACTGCAGCGGGGGAGTGTGGGGTCCCAATGGCACATGGCAGATCTTCTTTAGACCCTACTGCAGGATGGTGGGCGAAAACATGTCTCCTTCCATTCAGTGGGAGCAAAGGAGGCCGTATTTTGATGATGATAGAGTTCCCAGGAAGGTTCATCTGAAACAGCATTGTCTGAACTTGCTGGTTTCATCAGACTTATCACACAGTCCATCTGCGACTTAATGAGACTTTAGAGGACAGAGTCTCTTGGACTCTTGGACTCTAGAGAAGTACCCAAGATGAATCTTACACTAAGACGACTCTGGGAAGTTTTAGCCTAACAAGAATCCTCTACATTCTTGACTATGTCAGTGTGGGAAACTATGCCATGCTAAATAAATATTAACCATGATTTCCATCAGGGACCATGCCTTCTTGAAAGGGACTTTCCAAACCTCTCTTAAAGACCGAGGATCACCCCCACCACCCCACTGCTGATGGTTTTCTCTGCTTGACGGTCACTGGTGTAAACTCTAGGCCAGAAGGCGAGAGCCACTAATCACTTAAATAATTTCTGGTTTTTGAGAGATTAATTCTTCAAAGTATTAGCATGCTCGTGTATGGTGCACATTTATAGAGAGGCCAGCAAACAGCTCTGGCTGTCATCCTCAGGAGTGCTGTGCACCCCTTTGGAGGTAGAGCCCCTCCTTGGCCTGGAGTGATGCTGGACTGAGTGACCAGTAAGCCCAGGAGAATCCTCCCGTGTCCTCTTCCCCAGTGCTGAGGTTACAAGTGTCCATCACCATGCCTAGATTTTCAGATGTGGATTCTTGGAATCATGCTCAAGTCTACAGTGCTTGCAAGGCCAGCACTTTACCGACTGGGCCATCCCTGGCAGCTCATGTTTCTAAGTGGATTCTGTTACTAGTTGTACGTCTGTCTGTAGAAGGCCAATGAAGTCTCCAGCTATAAATCTAAAGTCAGCCTTCAGATCTTGGTATGCGTACCAGAAAAGCAAATCCCTGTAGCCTGCCAGGATTCACCTCTTTGCTCCAGAGCTGGTCTCTAGTTTTTTCCCTAGTGCTGTTTCAACTAGAAATTCACACACGCGTACACACACATACACACACAAACACACACACACACACACACACACACACACACACACACACACACTCCTCCGTACGGTTTGTTAGGCCACTATTGATGAGATTTCACCTCCTGTCAGCTCACCTTTCCTAAATGGACTAGAGTTGAAAATTAAAGCAGGCTATTTAAAAAGTGTGTGAAGAAGGATGGCATTCCTGGAAGATACTAACTTACCCAACCCGAGTCTTCAGCTGGTAGCGGAAGTGGAAATAAAAGCCTAAGGAGAAATGCAGCAAATTTACTTGTGCATCCACACTTGTTTTGTAATGAAGGGGGGGGTAATAATTACATATTGCTGTGCTTCCTATAAGAAAGGCAATGGTCTCAAGCATGCAATAAATCCTTCGCCAATTAT